GAAACTGAGAGCCAGAGATGGGAAATGAGTTCCCAGGACCATAGACCTAGAACTGGAAGCAATTTTAGAAGCCATTGAATCTCACTCTTTCATTTCATAGATAAAGAAACTTGGGTCCCAACACATCCAGTGATTTGCTTGCCTTCAGTCACTAAGGTCACACAGCTAATAAACAGCCAAGCAAGGATGGAAGCCCAGGTCACACTGATTTCCAAATCCACTTCTCTTTCCAGTATTCGATGCCCTGTGAAAGGCAGGCTCTCTCTAGTCCCTATGATTCTAAGAAGAAGCTGAATCCCTGAAAGTTGCTAGGGTCAGCAAGACTCTCAAGGTAAGGCATGCATGGCCTTCATCTCTTAAAAAAGGTTACAAACCCCTGAATTAAAGAACTCTCCAAGGCCAAGCTACAGGACACCCATCTGCCCATGGCAGTTATTATCTGTCCCATCCATACACTGAAAGCCCCCTAACCTTAGTATCTCAACCACTGTCCACTGAAAATACAAACAAACCACCTGCAACCCCACAGTGTCTTTCCTCTCATGTGGCTTCCCGCCCTCCACCTCCTTTGGAAAGTATATATTAATTGTTTTGCTGAGGCCTTATGTCATCAAGCACGGCTGATTTTTGTCTTATTTCTACTAGTGGCTGAATGTTTGTCCATATGTACACTGTACATGTGTATGTGTCACTGTGTCTTTGAGGAATACCCTGAGAGTGGAGAGTGTCACTAAATTCTTCACGGGCTGAGAAGGAAGTAGAGAAAAAGAGGAGTTTCCTGAAAGCTCACGGTTCCTGCTCTTCCCCCTTCCTTTCTTTCAGGTGCCTCCCTTGAATGAGACTTCTCTTGTGACATCCTGCTAGGGTCTGGCATCGTAGAGAGACTCATCCTCTTGGGTTCTCCAAACTCCTCCTCACCCATGGCCCTGCCTTCCCTTTCTTCAGCATGAACCCATACCCCCACCCTGAATGGAGCAAAATCTGAAAAGAACTCACTGTTGAACAGGCATGAGAGGACTATAATTTAGGGTTAGGGAGGTAGAAGAGGGCCAGATCACAGGATCATGCAAAGTAAAGGCATGCAGAGTAAATGCCTTGACCAAAACATCTAGAGGGCAGTGTGGTACAGCGTAGAGAGAGACAGCACTGCACTTGGAACCACAAGGTCTGAGTTCAAATTCCAACACTATTACTTCCTGGGTGACACTTGGCAAATCATTTAGATTCTCTAGCCCTTAGTTTCCTTGTCTATCAAATAATATAGACTAGATAACATTTAAATTCCTTTCCAGCTCTATGTCTACAATCCTTGAACTGCTTACTCTGAAGATGGTAAATAACAAATACCACAGTTCACACAATAGTTCCTGTATCTATAGCACTTTACAGCTTACAAAGTATTTTCCTCAAAACAACCATGTGGGAGAGGCAGTGATAGTGTTATTATCTCTATTTTATAGATCAGTAAACTGAGGCTCAAAGAGTTGAAATCGCTCAGTCACACAGCTATTAAGTTCCAGAAATAGAATTCCAAATGAACTTTCCTAACTCCAAGTCTGACACTCTTCCCACTACACCCTCCAAAAACAGAAAATTTTAGTAAGTGCTGGGTACTGGTGAGAGGTGAAACATTTCACTACTACAAGATTCTATAATTGCTTTGCGGTCAGCTCTCTGTCCACTGATATAGATTGCAACCTCACTACGATTTAGCAGATGGTCTTCCACAATATAACCAAAATTCACCATGTTGAAACCAACCAAGTAATTGAACCTCTATGCACTTTTCTAGGCTACCCCTTGGACAAGAGAACAGTCTACAAGGGAACCATAATCAAAGGTCCTCCAGTGTGTTAGGGCCTTCCAGAGTTTGTGGCTGTTGGCACAGCCTTTGGAAACCCAGGGTCACCTCCCTGACTTGATGAAGTATCAGACAATGACTTTAGTTGGAAATGAGGTTTGATATATGGTTCCTGCCTTCTAGAAACTTACCTTCTATTTGAGGAGAAAAGACAATTCAAGGGAGAAAAGATGAACAACTATAGATTGAAAGTACTATAGGAATAGCAGTGGGCACTGACCCCTATCTTTCATGATTCTCTGAACCTTCACTCACTTAGCTGCTGGGATCTGTGCCAGCTGGCATTGCCCTGGGGTTCATTTCCATACCCTGACCTGTTGTCTAAGACAAGACTCCCTGATGCTGTTTGGGTTTTTTTTTTTTTGTGGTATTGAGGCAGAAGGGTGGGTTACTTGGAATGCTCTCCAATGTTCAGTTGGCTGTAAAGTCTGCTGCAATTCAGGCAGATTCAGTTGTTCACAGGGGAGATGACTAAAGAAACTTCATGAGGAGCCATGAGGTCAGATGGTTTCCTGGAGGCTGAGATTCCTGACTCCTAGTTTTTCTTCTTAGCCACCACTGCCTTGTTTTCTGCTTCTCCAAATCCAATCTCCAAAGGCCAATCGGAAGTAGCACAGCCTCTATGAAACCTGTTTCAACTACTGAAGCCAATTTTGAATCTCTTCTTCATCACATCCTATGTTGTCTGTACCACAGTGTTAAGAAGTTAATTATGGGGGGCAGCTAGGTGGCACAGCGGATAGAGCACTGGCCTTGAGGTCAGGAAGACCTGAGTTCAAATCCAGCCTCAGACCAAACACTTGACACTTACTAGCTGTGTGACCCTGGGCAAGTCACTTAACTCCGATTGCCTAAAAAAACCAACAACAACAAAAATAAGTTAATTATGTTCTGTCTTGGTCTATAGAACAGTGGATTCCTGGTTGAGAGGGTCACAAAGAGTCGGACATCATCGAAAATGACTGAACAATGACATGGCCCACCTTTGGTAATGAAACCTCTCTCCAAGCTTGGCCTTGTGTCTGTACTCATTCTACTATTGGGTGTGCATCTGAGCCCTTTCCCACTTGGTGGGGTCTACCAGAGGTTGTGGTCCCCTAGAATAACCTTTGAGAGACCAGAATCACCTCCACACCATAGAATTAGAGTAGAAAAAGAAGGGGTAGAGAAAGAGAAAGGAATAAGCATGTGTAAAGTGCCTAATATGTGCTAAAATATTTTTATAAATATCTCATTTGATCCTTACAACAACCTTGTGAGGTAGGTGCTATTATTATCCCCATTTTACAGATGAGGAAACTAACTAAGGCAAGCAGGGTTAAGTGATTTTCCCAGGGTCACACAGGTAGTAAGTGTCTGAGGTCATATCTGAACTCAAGTTCTCTTGACTCCAGGATCAGTGCTTTATCCCCTATAGCTACCTACCTACATGCACATACACACACACACACACACACACACACACACACACACACACACACACAAACCCTGAAAGGCTTACCTCCTGGAGGTCATATCACTTTCTGACCCTAATAGATGATCATTCTAGGGACTTTGAAATCCACTGATGAAAATATGAGAGACCACTATAATTTTTAGGAAATGGTGATCTCTTAGGGTTTGCTATAACCCTAACGTGGCAAGTGCCAAGAGACTAGAATTCTCTGTCTGACTACCTCTGGCTTACTGTGTGACCTCAGCAAAAGCTTGTAACCTCTCTCTGTCTATGTATTGTTTCCTCATTTGAAAAAATGGTGGTAATAATAATAGCTGTCCTCTCCTTACCTCATAGGGTGTAGGTAGCATGAATGAGATCATGTGCGGGGAGAGCTTTGAACTTCTTCAGAGAAAAGCAATATGTAAATATAAAGGGATATTATTCATTCAAAAGATACCAAGGATTTCATAAGAGAGCCAAGTGATAGTGTGGCAGACTCCCTGAGGTTCTACCAGAGTCTATTAGTTATTAAAATGAGTTGCCTCATCCCCTAAATATTTCATCAAATAGAGTCCATGTCTCCCTGTAACAGCAATATTGCTCCAGCTGTTGGTAACTTACCTCACCTAGGAGAGGACAGTGGAAGGAAACTGACAAGAGGATCTGACCCTTTAAACAGAAATACAATTTTATGTAGTATGGAAGGGTTGGGGGAGGGATGTCCAGGATGCAGCCTGGGAGATAAGGAGCAGTAAAGGTAGCAAAAAACCCTTGGCATGTTTCCATCATGGAGTCAATCTGCATGTAGCATTCTTCAACTCCTCAATTCAGGAGGTTTTTTAAGCACCTGCTGTGTTAACCCTATTTGCTTCAATTTCTTCATCTGTAAAGTGAGCTGGAGAAGGAAATGGTAAAGCACTCCAGTATATTTGCTAAGAAAACCCCCAAAATGGGGGCATGAAGAGTGGGACATGACTGAAAACAACTGAACAATAATATTGTCAGTATAGTCTCACAAGCTGAGTATATTAACTAAAGAGATAGAGAGCCTAGATCCCTCTGTGCTGTCAGGAGTTTACAATCTAATGGGAAAGGGGAGGAGGAGGCAAGGCAGCATGGAATAGTAGAAAGAAATCTGAACTAGGAGTGAGAAGATTTGGATTTGAATCTAGGCTCTATCATTTAACCGACTGTGTGATCTTAGGGAACTTACTTCATATCTCTGGGTTCCTGCTTTCTCAATGAGGGGTTTGGTCTAGATTAGGGATTCTCAGCCTGGGGTAGATTTCAGGGGTCTATAAACTTAGACGGGGAAAAAATGGCATCTTTATTTGCCCTACCCTTTGGTTTCCTTTGTAATCCTCTATATTTTATTTTATGCATTTAAAAACCAGTATCTCAAGAAGGAATCCATAGATTTCGACAGACCGACAGAGAGGTCCACAAGACCAAAAAAGGTTAAGGACCCCCTGACAAGATGATTTCAAAGATCCTTTCTGACTTGAATATTCTGTGACTCAAGACCCCACTACACTAAAGTATCTGGTTCCCCTGATGCCTACCCACCACCTGCTTCTGTTTTCTCTTCTCCCACCCACACCATTCAGTAACACTGAGACTGGCCTGATCTGAGCACAAACTACCTCCAAGGCTTCCTTTCTGTCAGCATGAGGTCACAATCAGTCAAAAGCTGCCTGATCTGAAGTGGGAGTAAGTAGAACTTGGTTCTGGTCTCAGCTCTTTGGCCATCTTGCTCTACAATCCTAGGTAAGCCACAAGATCAGCAATAGAGAGGTAGAAAGAACCTCAATTTGTTCAGTACCCTCATTTTACAGATGAGGAAACTGAGGCTCAGAGAAGTTGTGTCTTACCTAAGGTAACATGAGTAGCAAAAGGCAGTGCCAGCAATTTAACCTAAGGCTTCTGGATCCAAATGTAGCACACTTCTACTGTACCACAATATTTGTACCTCCGTTTCCTCACCTATAAAATGAGGGCATAACAGTAGTACTACCTATATGTACTTACAGACCTTAAAGTACTTTATAAATACAGATTATTATTATAAAATGAGTTAATTGGTATAAAAGGGCTTTGAGATGTCCTGTGAAAGTTTCTCTCTTCCCTTTTTTATTCCAGTAGCTGATTGTAGAGCACAAGAAAACTAAGGAGAAACCCTGTACTGCAAATGAAAAAGTACTTCCCTTGACCTACTGGATGACTTAGGGGAAATAATTTCCCCTTTCTGGGCCTCAGTTTTCCCGTCTGTAAGATGAAGAGAGTAGACAAGATGATCTCTAAGATTCTTTCCAGTTCTATGACTTCATGAAAGGTGGAATGTAAGGGATTCATATTATCTTGTGGTGGGAAAGGATTAGTAAACTGGTGTTCATTGGTTGTATTTCCTTTACTTCTTGCTCCAGGGAGAGGTGTGGTTGGGCAGAGACATTAGCCTCAGTCTGTACTGACTCAGTGTCTTGGTTCATAAATAACTTCAAAAGTGTTGAAGAAAAAAAAGTCCTATTGAAGGTGTAGAGAGGGAGATAAGGGAAGCCTTGACTGTGAAGCCTCTGTGACAGGAAGCAGTGTGAGCACGCCAAGAAAATGATGCCTTTTTGGTAGAATTCTGCTCTGAGACTTACCTAAGTCAGCAGGGGCAACTGAGGCCTCTGCTGAAACATTTGGTGGCCCACTGTGCAGGGGTAGTCAATCTCTTGGGGGGAGGAGGGGAGGGATTATTCTTTTATTTATTCAGTCTCTGCTGAGAACCTTCTGCGTGTGAGGTGTTGTGGAAGGCAAAAAACAATACTGAGACACAATACTTGCTCTCAAGAAGAAAACGTTATTTTAAAAAAGAATTTTTATGCTTATGAATGAACCTCGACAGCCCTGCTAACTCTCACTGATCTAGTCATTGAATAATTTGTCCCTATCCATTCTTATCACAATACATTTAGGAGTTGGAAGAGATCCTAGACATCACTTGATCTCACTCCCCTCATTTTACAGATTAAAAAAAAATGAAGTCCATTTGTTTAAGCTTTTTATTTTTCAAGGTGCCCTCAGTCTACTTGGGTCTTTTGAAAAGGCAAAAATACCTTTCCTAAGGTCCATATCTAACCATGTCACTCTCCTGTCCAAAAACCTTCTGTAGCTCTCTATTGCCTCATTAGACTTTGTATCATGATTATTTATGCACATGTAATAGGGTCAGGAGATTTAGATGTAGAGGGAACTTTAATTGACAAATGAGCATTTGAGCAACTGCTTTGTGCAAAGGCACTGGAGACCTCAGGAATGATTTAATTCACAATGACTAAATTTGGCCCTGGATAAGAGTTTAAAAAAAATTTACCTCTCTATTACTAAGTGCTGTGGAGCAGGTAAAGCTTGGTCAGACATCGTAGACACAAAGGTCATCTGCTGTATCCTGCAACATCCCTATAGTCATCCTGACTTTGGTCTAGTCACTGGATTTGGATGACTCTAGAAGAGAGTCCATTTCAGCAACTCTGCCTCACTTAAATCCAACTCACTTGCAAATAAAGACATCACCCTATGATGTCATTGGTCCTCTTCAAAAACAAAGGACAGACAACTGAGATGGAAGACTCTGGACATAGAATCATGCATATATTATCAGACTCTACCTCTAACACTTACTACCAGTGTGATCTTGGGCAAGTCATTTAACATCTTGGGCCTCGGTTTTCTTATCTGTAAAATAAAAGGGTTGGATTACATAGACCCTAAAGTCTACAAGTGTTGGCTTTAGATACATTACTCCTCCTTTGCAATACTCCCCTAACTCATACAGGCACTCAGAGCTTAGATGCCCAGAGGGCTACTATGACCTCGAGTTAAAGAAATAATCCTGTGGGTGGTTAATAGGAGTAACCCCCTCCCCAACCAATATACTTTCCATTAATAATCTTGCCAGGAGATACAATTAGCTCTTAACAAAGGCACTTACTCAAATATCATAGTATATATATAGTAGTTATAAAACATTACTAAAACCACTCCAAAAAACCCCAAAAAACCCTGGTATACACGTTCTGACAAATACAAGCAGCATCCATAAGAAGAGTGAGCTCAAACTTAAGAGTACAGTGGTAGCAAAATATACATATAGTATGTTTCCATATACAGATGTGAAAAAGGCAACTCGTAATTCCTGATAATTGCAGGGCGTATAAACCTTTTTTTTCCTTCATAGTCCTCTTGCTGGATTTCCAGGACCTTTTACTCTCGACAGCCTGATTCTTGGTTTCTGGGGGTCCCATTTCTTAAAGCTGCTTTCTCCTCTGGGTGACCTTATCTCTGTATTTCTTTCTGCTTGAAGTTTGTGTCTGTCCCCGACTTGGATGCACTGTTTCCAATCGGTCCAGTAACTTCCTTTTAAAGTTACATGTCAAATTTGGGGGAGAAGGGGCAGGAAGCCTGGACCACCTGAGCTCCTGGATGAGGAAGGGGGAAAGGGAGGGGAGATAACCCGATTTCTCTGCCAGTTCCCTTGTTCCTTTCTTGACTCAATCATAAAGGTATTCACACCTGACAAAGGGATCAAGCTTTATTGCATGATTTTAAGACCTTACTAACATTTTATTGTTACATTCTGGGCTTCCTTTATATCAACTGAGGTGGGGAGTATATTCCCTCCTTTACCAAAAGATAACTCCTAGGGAAGGGAAGAGGGATATATTCAGAAATTAATGTGATATAAAAACAAAAGATACTTTTAACAAAATTATATAATTCACATCTCTTATTTTAGAGATGAGGAAGCTGAGGCCCAGAGAAGAAATGTGAATTGCCTTAGGTCCTACAGTCACAAAAGTAGCAGAACCGGAATGTGACTACAGCTCCTCCAACTCCAAAACTCATGCTTTGCTGTCTGCTGCTCTGTGGACGTGCTGCCTAGTAGACTGTAAGCTCCTTGAAGGCAGGGGATGTCATTTTTCACCTTTGTATGCCCTATTACCAAGCACAGTGCCTTGAATATATGCTTAATAAAATGTTATCAATTGATTCTTAACAACAATTCTGTGAGGTAAGCAGGTTAAGGTCTATTCCCAGGGCCACAAAGCAGATATTTTGTACTAATGAATACCTTGAAACAGTCATAGGGAAAACAAACATAAGTTATTCAGGGTCATAGAAGAGCCCTTCAATCTTAAAGCCAAAGTTTTCCATGGGGAAGTGCTCCCAAATATTCCATACTGATCCCTGATTATTTGCCTGAATTTACAGATAAGGAAACTGAGGCTCTTAATGGCTTGCCCATAGTCATACTGCACAGCTGGGCCTAGAACCCAGGTCACCTGACTTAGTTCGGTGCTTTTTTTTTAAACTATATTGTACTCCATATACTACTGTCCCTAAATATTATTGTCAAGAACCCACATATGATCCACCGGCAAGGCTTGTAGGCTGATCCCTTTGGATACAGAGTAGTTCTGTATTTGATTCCCATCCTTCATTCTCTTACCCTATTATAAAAAGCAGCCCTAGGTAATTTGAATAACCCAACTCAGCCTCAGGAGGAAGCAATAGGTCTGAAAAACAACGATGGTGGTACATCAAAATTGGGGGTGGGAGGTGGGGAAGGAGAATGCTATCAAACTTCAAGACCACTGAGAAACGCTGGGGGAGTGAGGAAGGGAGTATGGAAAGACACTGCCCAGATGCTGGGAGATACAGGACTGTAGGCTGTTACTTCATGTAGAAAAGAAAGGCTTTTGGAGTGGAATTATACAAGCCTGCCATAGAGTTGTAATGCCTCCAAGACGAACAAGGTGGCTCTGATAGAGCCACCTTTGCTTTTTGAAATGGGTCCTTGAGATACTTCTCCATTGGGAAAAAGGTTAATAATGCCACCTACTGGAGCTATGGAGTACTGCAGGCATAGAGAGGCTGAAACTGGAGAATTCGAGGACATAGCAGAAGTGCTGAGCGACAAACATCGTTAACTAGAAGCACCAGATTCATTTTTTTCCTTTTTCTGATTATTATTGCCTTTTGAAAACATCCTAGGAGCACAGATTTAGAGCTCAAAGGGACTATAGGGGTTATCTAATCCAACCCCTTCATTTTACAGGGAAGAAAATGAGCTCTAGAGATGAAATTACTTTCCCAAGGTCAAACCGCTAGTAAATGTTACAGCTGGTATTTGAACTGGGGCAGTGAAGTAGCACAGTGGTAGAGTCTGGAGTCAGGAAGATTCATGCTCCTCAGTTCAAATCTGGCTTCAGACACTTAATAGCTGTGTGACCCTGGACAAGTCATTTAGCCCTCTTTGCCTCAGTTTCCTCATCTATAAAATGAGTAGGAGAAGGAAATGGCAAACCACTCCAGTGTCTTTGCCAAGAAAACCCTAAGTCGGCTCATAGAGAGTCAGACGTGACTAAAAAATGACTGAACAACAACATTTGAACTGAGGTCTCAGATTCACAGAATCTCAAAGGGTAAAGGACCTCAGAAACAGCTTCCTATACCCTATACCTGAAAAAGAATCACTAATGCATTCATTACCCAAAATGACCCACCCACCTGTCAGAACACAGTACTTTCAGAGGCAGCCCATTTCATTTCAAAATAACTTTAATCGTTTAGGAAATATTATCATACCTTGAGCCTAAATCTTCTTTTCTGTAACTTCCAGCCATTAATCCAGGTCCTGTTCTCGGGGGCCAGGAACAAGTCTAATCTCTGTTCCACATAACAGTCCCTTGGGTAGTTGAATCATGCTTACTTAACCTACTTCA